ATACTATAATACCAGCCCAAAATTTTTAACCCGTCAATTTAAACCGCATCATCTACATTGACTCGTTGTTTTGCAGAGTGTGAGTGGAAAAATAAAGAGTTTGATTAATTCCTTATTTCTTAATAATAATCATTAAACCTAGTGATAATAATACATCAAAAACTATTTATGAAATTCATGAGGATGTAATCTTTTGTTTCATCAATAATAAATTTGGAAAAGCCAACTTTCTGGTTTTTGTAAAAATGATAATGGCGACATTGCAACAGATTTGCATGAGCTACGTGGCCATTTTTTCTCTTATCATGAATATAAACGGAACTTTTGATGTCTCATTAGAAAAAGAAGAGGGTGGGGATTGATTATTATCGAATCCGTTTGAATTTAAATTAATATTTAAGCACTGTTTTTGTTGGGTCAGTGTCAACAATATTAACTTCCGTTCTATAATGAATTTACAAACACTTTTGGTATATTAAAAGAATGTTTCAGAAAACTCAAAGATTTTTGTGTGATCTAATAGTACGGATTGATGTTGAGTTGCTATTAGTATTATATAGTAATAGTGTTTGTATTAGGGCAACTAATTTTTGACGTTAAAAAAATTTTCTTTAACATTTTGATTGATTTTATTATATTAATATTAATGATAAATTCGAACCGAAAGGCGTGTTCAAGCGGTAAATGTTATAATTCAAAAGAATACATGAATATTCAACTAAATGTTAATGAATTAAATTAAATGAATTTTATTGTTATTACTATGAACAAATTATATTAATAGCATAATAATAACGTTTCTTTCTTTTAATAAAAATAATATATATAAAATTATAACAAATTAATTTATCAAAAAAAATAATTAGATTTGGTAAAAAGTTATAGACCTAAAAATAAATAAGATGCAGGAGGAAGCCCTCCAGCTCCTCCAACTTCATCAACTCCAGCCCCAACTCTAGCAGCTGCACAGCCATATATATCAACTTTTTTAATAACTCCAACCACAATATCATATCGAGTAGGTAATGTTGTGGGTACTGCTGCAACGTCCACTGTTGTACTGAAGGGGGTGTTAGCTTTTGGACATGGATTTTTTTGATCATCGCACACAGGTTGAGAAGTGATATGATCTATAATCTTCCCAGTGCTAGGATCACCAAAAAAAACAATAACTTGAATATTTGGGTGCAAGTCTTCTGTAAGTGTTCCGGAAACAGTAAAAGTATCGCTTTCTCCAGCAACTACAGGATCAGGTAAAATCGTTACAGAAATTAAGGTTGGTGGTGGTGTCTCCGGGTCGTGATAACATTCACCGAATTCAGTGGTTCTTTTGAAAAGTTTATGTGGAATAGCATTGATTGTGGAAAACGTAACCAATAAAATGAATAAAAATGTAATAAGATTTCTGTTCATAATTTCTTTGTGAAAATATCTGATTAAAAAATAATTTGATTTAAGAGTAAGTTGAAATCGTTGCTTCTTATAATTGACTCATGTTATGCAAAAGGTAATTTAAATTCAACATGAAACCTGAAATTCATATAATATACGTAATAATTTTATTCAATGAATATTTATAAAAATCCAAGAAAGTTATGAAACTCCGTTGTGTGACCATATGTTAACATAATGTATTCTTTATTTAATAATATAATGAATGATAATAGTATGTAAGAATTTTATGAACAGATAATAAATATTTATTTAATTTATATCTTGTAATAAATTCTTTGATTTTAATCTTTTGTATTAACAGCATAAATCCAATTATTGATATTTATCAAACATCTTTGAATTGCACCTCTAATACAATAATAAAGTAAAAGAGCCAACTCTGTGTGTTCATTTCCATTTCAACTCTCCCCAACCAATTCTAATAAAGTATATATATATACACAGAAAAAAAAATTAGTAATAAAAGAGCAAGATCAATGATAAATTACATATTACATATTTATTAGAAAACTTGTTGTTACCAATTAGTGCCTTGCTGGAATTTGAATTTAACAATCAGTTGTTTGTGATTGAAAACTCAAGTTTCTTTACTTTTATGGTAATAATCTGTACAAATAATATCAAGATGTTTGTTACTAAATTAGGTTTTAACTTTTACGTCAAAAACATTATTATTATTATATATACAAAGGAATTAAAATGATTTTTGAAATTGTGCAATAATGCAAACGCGTGTCACAATCTATCTGTTATTGTATCATTACGCAAATAAATATGTTGTGATGCGTAACTTTTAGACTACCACATGCAATCTATCTATTATTGTATCGTTGGGTTACATTTAGACTACCACATAAATAAATATGTTGTGATGCATAACGTTTTAGACTATATACCACATTTTTAAATTTGTGACGCATAACGTTTTAGACTACCACGTGCAATCTATCTATTATTGTATCATTGGGTTATGTTTAGACTGCTGCAAGCATGTAAATAAATATGTTGTGATGCGTAACTTTTAGACTACCACATGTAAATGATTTTTAAATTGTATGTGAAATTGAAATATTATGGAGTGGGGTGAAATTCTGATTGGCTAATTTGAATTTCACATATGTAAATTTGAATTTCACGTACGTGAATTGTGAATTCATTAACACTTATAAAAGATTGCTCAAATCCCCATAACACTGCTTTTTCCCTTACTTGGAATAGATTGTATGAATTTGGTTTTGATCTACTATTTTTTTTATAAACAGGAACACCAAAAAAATTTTTTTCTCATTTTTTCCCAAGGATTCAAAGGCATTATTTTTTTTATTACTGCTTGCTTGTATATTTATTCTTTGGAGACTTTATGAAAAGTCCAGGATGTTAATGGGTGGAACTTATTCCTGGTTGTTACGAAGTATAGTAGAACAATGATCCCACATAATTTCAAAAAAGTCTAAATTTTTTGATACAAGTTGACTTGCATTCAATGCGAATTCACAACAAAGTCCAGATTTATCAAAGGTGGCACTAAATCTGGTTATGCGAAGTACAGTAGCATAATTACCCTTCATAAATTCGCAGTACACATTCTTATTTCCTTGGGTTACAAAGGCTAATCTGGCTGCGTGTCCTGATGATATGAGGATGCAAATAATATATCATATGATCATATGATGATGATTATTATGAGGATTATAGGTCCCAGGGAGGGCTCGCATTGCTCTGGGACTTGTTAAAGTTGTCGCATTGTTGTCAAGGAGAATGTTTAAAGACTAGTGAGTGACGTAATCCAAAAAGGACACCAATTTTTATACACTGGAGATACAACTACAACCATCACCATAACTCACTGCACTAGTCTTTATTTTAGAGCTTCTCACTTGTCTAAAGTCTTCTGATGTCTAACTCCACCTACCCGTGTGAGAGATCCACATGAAGGTCTTATGGTTCATAAGGAGTTGATTATTGGATGTTGGTCAGAAGGAAAGTTTTAATCAAATCTGAAACCAAGGTTGGGTGGTTGATTATCATTTTTGGACATTTTGTTTTGGTGATTAAGAGATGGTGGAGATGGAGTTGCTCAAGTGAAGGTTATATAAGGTTGATTATGATACCATTGTTTATCTTTGCTTAATATTACTGTTTATATGGTGGCGGTGGATTTGAAACTATGGGTGTAGGATAATACCTGTTACCAGATTCATCATCAACTTAACCACCATCATCTGGTTCGCCATCATCAAGAATTCCAGCTCATATTACAACATGGTGTTGTCCAAATACGGCCCTTCTGACAATAATATCAGATTGTTATTTAGTATTTTACTCTATAGTAGATTAAAACTTTAGAGTTTCATATGTGCATGGCCTTGGTATTATTTAATTACCTGGGTGATGCAATCATATAAATATGTCAAATTTGTTGCATAATCAACATGAATATTATAATAGGCATGATACAATACTGAAAAGATAAGTAATGTTTTATTTATTTTGATTTAACCAAGAGAAAAAATATAGTGATTTTAATTATATATTCATGAGAGTATACAGTAATAGAAGATAAAAACAATCAGAGCAATTAATTGCAAGAGAAGCCATGGTGAACATTAACTATCTTTGGTCACTCTAATGTATGTTTTCACTATTATTTTAATAATATCTTTTATGCCATCCAATTTTTATTCTTTTCTTTATTGATTCTCTATTGTTTTCTGATACAGTTGATGGATCTTTCTATAACGGATCTTGCTCTATGATTGACCTGAGAATCAATAATCCAAGAAGAAATTATTGTGAGAGAAAACATTCACTTGAATATTAGCAACAAAGCAGAAAAAGGTATGAGCAGAGACATTTAATTGAGTCGTAGGATTTATAATAACAACATTAACATTATTTCATTTTCTGATTTATTTATAGTGAAATTAATCTTCAGAAGAGTGAGTGGTGACAATAAAACAATAGATTATGAGGATCAAACTGAATAGGTATTTATTTATTAGCAAATAATTTTGTGTATGATTTGATTATTTCTCAAGTCAAAATGTGATATTATTTTCTTTTACTCAAGAAAAGTTGTCCCCAAAGTATATTGAATTTGAATTGTTTATATAATTAGAGGATGACATTAGAGACTGAGTCTACTTTATCAACTTTGATGATATTGACTAAGTCTACAATTATACTTCATCAACTTGGTTTGTATAGAATTCTATGGTGTAGTGATACAATAAAGATCAATATTTTCAGGTAACAACACTATTACTATGGTAAAGGATTTTAGAAAAAAAAATTTTTGATTATAATAAAAATATTTTATTTAATTGAAAAACTCTATTTTTTGTTATTTCTTTAGTAGTTCAATTTTTTGTCATGTTATATTTATCTACAATTCAAATGCACCATGAATCAATTTCATTGCTCCTAAATGATAAATTTCTATTTACCATATAGGACATGGTGTTAGTTGGCATTATTGGGAGAATATCAAATGAAAAGGAATTATCATCATCACTGTTGGCTTTTCTTGTTTTCATGTACAAAAAAACGTGCATTGGTTTTGCTTTTTACGTATTCTTTAATAAAATAGACTATTTCGTGGTAAATGATCCATTGATTGAGCAGTCTAATAAATTACTACAAAACATATAAACAAATCCGCGAACCAAAAAATCATAAAAAAACGTGCATTGGTTTTACTTTTTACGTTGTATTCTTTAATAAAATAGACTATTTCGTGGTAAATGATCCATTGATCGAGTAGTCTAATAAATTACTACAAAACATATAAACAAACCCGCCATCCAACAAAAAAAAAATACATTGGTTTTACTTTTTACGTTGTATTCTTTAATAAAATAGACTATTTCGTGGACAAATGATCCATTGATTGAGTAGTCTAATAAATTACTACAAAACATATGAACAACCCGCCAACCAACAAAAAAAATACATTGGTTTTACTTTTTACGTTGTATTCTTTAAAAATAGACTACTTCGTGGCAAATGATCCATTGATTGAGTAGTCTAATAAATTATTACAAAACATATAAACAAACCCGCCATCCAACAAAAAAAAATACATTGGTTTGCTTTTTACGTTGTATTCTTTAATAAAATAGACTACTTCGTGGCAAATGATCCATTGATTGAGTAGTATAATAAATTACTACAAAACATATAAACAAACCCGCCATCCAACAAAAAAAAAATACATTGGTTTTACTTTTTACGTT